CGCATTCTTTCTTTCGTGAGCAGTTCGCAACTGTGTGGCCTTTGCCTCTCTTCAAACAGGAAAAACATGCTCGTTGTTCTTTCACTATTTTCCATCTTTCATTTGGCGTCATATCACGGAATCTTTGGCATTCGTCTATATAGTGTCGACCTTGACATACATAACATTGCTTTGATTTGAATCGATCTTCTCCATGCTTTCCATCATCATTTTCAGTCTTGTAGCCAAATGTGTTGACCCTGTGTAATCGGACATTCTTGCGAATTTGGGCCCCAGAGCGCATTCGGGCAGTCATTTCTGCTTCCATCCAAGACAGAAGGTTGTCCATTGATGGTTCACACTTTTCGGAATTAAGATAGCGCGCCCACCCCCTCAGGTCGTCTTCGCTCATTTTTCTTTCTATCAGGGAGATCACATGCGTATTATCCATATCCTGGGGGCGCTTAATTTCTTTCAAGATGTTGTACGACCGTCTCACTAAATTCACTAATTGTCACAATCGATGATCTTCTCCCGGTTGAATACTTCTGAATCTTTCTAGATCTAGGGTAATCGTGTCTGATACAATTCTGGGGTCACCATAGTTTTGGTCTAGGTACTTCCATGCAGCATTTAGATCAGAGCTTATTCCTTCGATTAATTTGGCAGGCTCAGAACTTAAACATGAACGTAGCACTGTCAATGTATCTCTTTCAGAATATTGTGCTTCAACAGCGTGTTTAAAATCCGACTTAAATATGAAATATTGTCGAACATCACCAGTAAACACAGGTAATTTGGCTTTTTCATGCTTAACAGTAAAGGGCTTGGCTGAACTCGGACTGTGTTGCATCATTTCAGGGTTTTGCATTGTGCTTGGGTGATTGTTCTCATTAGAAACAGTAGACTGTTCGATCAGATTGTTACTTCCTTGACTATCATTACTTTCCTCATTGTTCTCTTCACTCGATTCACCAACGACACTGTCACTGACATTCTGTTTACTTTTATCCTCATCTATTTTCTTAATATAATCATGATAACGCATAGTAAAGGCTACGTACTCACTTGCGCAGACTTGCATCCATTTTTCAGCTTCTTCGAACTCTTCATCATCTAATAACATAGTAAATTCTTCATGTTTCATCACTAATCCTTCATGAGCCCTTCGTAACTCTTCAAAGGCTTGTTTTACTTCACTTTTCGAACGACTTGCTTCAATCAGTTCATTTGTAACATTCATTGCTCTCGTCAGAGAACCTTTCGCACCACGACGTGCATTCTTAGCTTTATTCTTAATCTCTTTATCCATTTTACTTCAAAGACAAAGTTCAGTACATAGCACCATCAGCAAACATATAAAATCTTCAGATAATGGACCGATGGCGCAGGCGACAGTAGACAAACAACAACAATGGTTTGGTTTTCTTATTATTAAATTATACAAACGCGAAATTTGCATAAAATATGTATATATATAATCTGAAGCTATAAGATAAAGAATAGAAAGAAAATTACGACTATGTTTACAAATATAAATACAATACATTACGTTACAATTACACTGTTTTTAACTTACATTTGTCCAAACCAGTGATAAACTTTAAAACCATAAATCCTAACTTGACTTTTCCCGGTTCAAAACATTAATTTTTAGCGTTCCTTTAGACTACATTTATACGTACTTTTAACGTTCAACATGGCTTCCTTTTCGCGCGCTTTTTCTCAGTTCATCGCGGGCGACAATAATTATTCTACGTACGTCATGTTATTTTAGTCAAATCAACGTAACAATATATTTACTTCGTGTTGTGTGGCTTTTGGTTCGCAACACGATAGTTTATAAATGGTTTGTTTTGATTTTGTTCAAACGCGATTTCCATGCCCTAACCTAATGTATCCCATGTAAATAATCCAAACTGGATTAGGTTTTGCTTTAATCATTTTACAAATACTGCGGATTTCGATTTACCGTTTCAGCGCTTTAATTTCCCGTAATTGTTTTCTCGTTGAAACATACACGTTTCTAACGGTCAATGTCAATGTTACTAAGTGAAGTCTAGTGGTCTTTGTCCGCTGTTTTCTTGTCCGTTGTTTATCATTTGTAAATGTAACTGTTATATTCGTGTTTATCTCGTCTTTGGCAACATTTTGATATATAATTTACAAAGCTTTGTGGATCATTTCATGTTTTTTATTGATATTTTGGAAATTGTAGCGTATAAAAGGCTTCAAAATTATTTACTGGCCTTTTATACGCTACAATTTCCAAAATATCAATAAAAACATGAAATGATCCACAAAGCTTCGTAAATTATATATCAAAATGTTGCCAATGACGAGATAAATACGAATATAACATAACAGTTACATTCACAAATGATAAACAACGGATAAGAAAACAACGGACAAAGACCACTAGACTTCACTTAGTAACATTGACATTGGCCCTTAGCAACTTGTTCGTTTTAACGGAAAAACAATCACCGGAAACGGAAGCCCTGAAACGGTAAATCGAAATTCGCAGTATGCATTTTACTAACAGAATGGCAACTACGATAGGAATAAACTCGCTACAGGTGTTCTCTATGGCATCCGTGGCGTTGCATTGGTTAAGTTGTTATTTCAAATATCGAAAACAATTCGTCAGTTATAACACTTGTTTTTCTTCTATTGAACAACTCATTCAGTGTGGTGTATCCTGAGGTTGAATTGTAGGCCCACTCTTTTTCATTCTCAACGTAAATTATCTTGCTTGCATTAAGTTCCTAACAAATTACGTTTAGCTGAAACTTTATTATTTGCCGACGACACCATGTAGTATATATCTATGATTCTCACACGGATCCTGTTGCGCTGTGAAGCTTTGCAAGACATTAGTTTATGTATGAATACGGGCTAATGAATTACTGTCTGTTGACATTGAAAAACTTGATTATTAATATGTTATTCTGCAACCTAAAGGCCAAACAAAAGAAATTTATACATGGCCATGGCGTACCTTTTGTATTTCTTTGATAAATATAAATTCATTACTCGATATAGAAACGGGTTAAATTTACTCAGAAATGAAATATGTTTGTAAGGTGTGTCATTTATGTACCGATCAATTTGAAACTTCAACATTCCCCCCCCCCCCCCCCCCCCCCCGCCCCCCTCGGGCCGACCTCGGGAATTTGAACTTTTTGAAATTTGACTGATCGAATTCTCCCCCTGTGCAAAAATGTCTTCAAAATTTGAAGTTCAAATGCCCCACTGTAACAAAAAATTAAGCGTTCAAATGCCCCACCTTCATATGAAAATTATGAAACAGTATATACAAAAAGTACAAAATATGCGGAAACGTTTTTCGGCGGGATAGCGAAATTCACTTCAAACACTCATTAATAATTCATAAGCTTATTGGCAAATCATGTCAACCATAATATGTCACGTGCAGTGGCTTTAAACCTGATAAAACACTCCTAATGAGTATTCTTTATATAAAGAATACTAATAAGGCAGTATCTAATTTGTAGCCGTGTCCTCATTAGTATTCTTTATATAAAGAATACTAACAAGGCAATATATATCTATTGAATTTGTAGTCGTGTTTGAAGCCGTTTAATAAACTCGCGGGTCGTGTTTTATTAGGTCTAAAGCCACTCGCGCTGCGCGCTCGTGTCTTTAAACCTAATAAAACACTCCTGCTCGTATATTAAACAGTACTTAAAAAGTTTGGAAACCTTATGGGAATTTAACAGTTTTACACAATTTTATAGTACATACCTTCAAGTGAAGCACATAGCTTTTCCATGCCCGTTTTTTGAGTCAGTTTTTAACAAAATTGAGCCCTTTTCTCTCGAAATCTGAGAAAACTGTATTTGCCGCCAATGCGAAGTCTTTTCTGTAGTGTTTTAATAATTAGTAGCCTGCATGCACGAAGCACGCGAAAACGGGCAAAATTTTAAGACTTTCAGTTCAAATTCTCCACCCTTACCAAATACCCCACCACTACTAAATACCCCACCACATGGAAGACTTAGAACGTCAAATTCCCTACTCCCTGGAGAAGACTTGAAGTCAAATTCCCGGGATATGCCCGGGGGGGGGGGTGTTGAAGTTTCGAATTGATCGGTACATTGCATGCGTATACGGCGAAACTGTTTGGTCATCTGTACCTATGTTTTAAAATTGCAACCAAAATATCACAGAAACGAATTGTCAGGCAGATTGCTGAAAAATTCTAGTCTTAAGTTAAAAATTCTTAAGTTTCTCTTAAAATAGTTCAAATCACCAATTGATTTCAGCTCTGCATGTATCTAGACCATTCCGTATCTTCCGCAGTGTCTAAAACCTCTAAATATACACGAATACAATTCACAGTACCACGACGTCATAACAGTAATGGCATATATGCAATGCTATATTCACTGCCATATCATTGAGAACTCATTAGGGCCATTTATACGTGACAAAATAAGTCGCGACTTACATAAGACGCGACTTAAATAAGTGGAGTTATCGCATAAATGGTTCTCTACGGCTTTGGTCTTATTTATTTGCTATAGCTATGTTGTTGTATTGGTT